TTTTTTTTTTTTTTTTTGTGGAGGATGGTTGGGAGGAAGTGCCACATTGGCTAATTTAGGGAATGATCATAGGTTTATAAGTAAGGAATACATTTCCATTGGCCTGAGGCCTTTTGGGGAAACCCAAAACAAAGCCATGAGAGATTATGCTCAAAGTGAGTCATACTAGTGTGGAGATCCGTGATTCCTAACATCTTTTACATCTTTCCTCATCTTTGAAAGCCAGAATAATGCCTTCTCAGATCTTCAGTAAGTGGTCGATTGAATTTGTTGGTTTTCTAGTCTGTGATATGTATAAGGGTTTTGCAAATATAAACCAAGTTTTATATTCACATATTTTATAATTTTCTTTTCTTTAACAAATAGATATGAAAACTTTTTTGAGTGTCCATGGCCTGGATGATAGCATCCTGCAGTTCCATCCTTTTACCTTTTTGGTCAACCTTGAAAGGCGGAATAATATTGTTATGAGTCCAAGTATGTGATCAAGTTATAGGTCTCTTGTAAGGGGAGGTAGCCAGTGTTTGTGTGGGTTGGATGGAAGAGTAGAATTCTTCTTTCGTCCTACTTTCAAATAGAGAAGCTTAATACCTCTTGAATGTACACAAGACTAGATTGAAAAAAAAAAAAATTGTACTATCTTCATTGATATTTATGATTATAATAAATATCTTCCTAGGTCTTTTGAAAAAAAATTGTTTTTATTTCCCTAGCACGTGGTGTGAGAAGTGATTTATGGACCACAGTTTGGTTAGAGATGCTTTCGGTATAGTTGTGTTGTAATCTGTTGAACACGTACTTTATTAGTTTGGACAAATGTAGTTGTTTATACAAAGTTTTTACTTCTTAATGAGTGAAAGTTTGATGCTTGTAGTTGAAGATGATATGCTCAGTAACAAGTCTTTTTCGTGCGGTGTAGATGCTTCGAAGTCCGGTGTTGCTCAAGAAACAATTCAAAACAGTGTTCGCAGAGCAAGCAAAGTGATGACTGAGCAAGAAGCCAGGCAGATTCTTGGCGTCACCGCGGAAACGCCTTGGGAGGAAATTGTGAAGGTCAAATATCTATTGCTTTTCACTAAAACAGTTCCTGCCTTGTATATATTATTATGAATAGGTGTTTGACAATCCTTCCTTCCTACGTTTACAGAAATATGACGCTTTGTTTGAAAGGAATGCTCAGACTGGAAGCTTTTATCTTCAGTCAAAAGTTCACAGAGCCAAGGAACGATTAGAAACTCTCTATCAGAGCAAAGGTCAGGATGCCCGTAGCTGAGGGATGTGTTGTGTTGTGTTGTGTTTTGCACATTCACCGTTCTTGTATAATTCTTAATTGGTCATGGCCGCCATGAATGATGAAATTGATGTAAAATCTTTTCTTCCATATGTGGGAAAAAAATCATGCTTTGAAATAGTATTTTAGATCTCGATGCCTTGAGAGCACCTAACGTTCGTTTCATACTTTTAATATATCTCAAAAACAGTCTACAATTAGCTTAGGTTCAGTTGTCGCTATTTATTATCGTGGGTACCATTGTTGCTATCTATTTCGGTCGCAAAATGGACTCTCAAGATATAACTCGAGTATAATTGTATAAGGGAAAAAGTCACCATCAATGTATTCTAAAATGGACTTACAGGAGTAAGGGTTATTTCGAAAACAGATTCTAAAGCGAAACACGACAGTTTATTCTACAACATCAACACTGAAAATCTATGTTCGGCAGCAGAGCCTACAACCTAACATACACCCACAAGCTAAATGTTGAATATATTACAATATTATAAATGTGGCCCAAGCGTCGAAAAAATGAACCACTGTTTTACGCTTTCTGCAACCTCAAAGTCGTATATCTTCCATAAACTAGAAATTCCAGGTGCAATTATTTTCTTGTGTTGAAATGCTGAAGATGTTGCTGGTGGAGAATAACACCGAATCTAAAACTTGTTACCAAGGCAATAAGGTAAATTCATATATAAGCAAGAGAGCTACGATCTAGATCGGGCTGTGGGCGGCCTCGGGTTGGAGTGGGAGGCCTCTGAATGTTAAGTTCCTGAAAGAACAAGAACAAGGATTAGTGTTCAGGGTTGTACTTTGCTAGTACTTGGCATTTGGGTTATTTAAATTTAAAGGGTAGTGTACCTGCATCCAAGTGTCTTCAATGATGCGTTCTGGAGATGTTTCTGGTGATTGGAGGGGCGGTGGCAAGGGATGGATCAACTTTGGGACAACGACCAATCCCCTCCCAATAACCAATATGGCACCAGCGTTGTTTGCAGTTCCTACGTATCCAACTCATTAGGGTCCAGTTGAAACTTTTAGAATTCAGTAACGAAACAAACACAACTATTTATGTTTTACTTACCACAATAGTTAGTGGCAGAGAATAGAGTGATTAGTTGTCCCTGAGCAAACCGTTCAAATCCATCCATGACACATTCGTGGGCTCTTATTATGAGCTGTATACTGTTTCTCTTGCAGAATTCTGTAACGCGATCAGGCTGCAAAAATGGAAAAAAAGGGGGTCAAACTATTGATTCATGGGACAAGTCGCAAATGCAAACATTTATCCATATAAAAGAAAATTTCCCTTTCTTTTCCTATGAGAACCCATTTTTCAATAAGAGGTCAATACTATTGAGAATGGTTGGGAGGGAGTACCATATTGGCTAATTTTGGGAATAATCATGAGTTTATAAGTAAGGAATATCTCCAGCCTTTTGAGAAAGTCCAAAGCAAAGCCATGGAAGCTTATGTTCAAAGTAGACAATATCATACCATTGTGGAGATCTATGATCTCTAACATGGCATCAGAGTCATGCCCTAAACTTAGTAATGTCAATAGAATCCTCAAATGTCGAACAAAGAATGGTGAGCCTCGAAGGTATAGTCAAAGTGACTAATGTGTCGAACAAATGGTGTACTTTGTTCGAAAGCTCCAGAGGAGTCGAGCCTCATTTTGTTCGAGAGCTCCAAAGAAGGAGTCGAGCCTCGATTAAGGGGAGGCTGTTCTAGGGCTCCATAGGCCCAGGGGAGGCTCTATGTTGTACTTTGTTCGAGTGGAAGATTGTTGAGGATTGTTGGGAGGGAGTCCCACGTTGGCTAATTTAGAGAATGATCATGAGTTTATAAATAAGGAATACATCTCTATTGATATGAAGCCTTTTGGGGAAACCCAAAGCAAAACCATGAGAGCTTATGCTCAAAGTGGACAATAACATACCATTATAGAGATCCGTGATTCCCAACGGATACAAAAAAAAAAAAAAAAAAAAAAAAAAAAAAAAAAAAAAAAAAAAAAAAAAAAAAAAAAAAAAAAAAAAAAAAAAAAAAAAAAAAAAAAAAAAAAAAAAAAAAAAAAAAAAA